TTTACTGCACAATGTGATTTTGAGCCATGATAAAAATATTTCTGGTCAGTGCCTCTTTGCCTGATACAATGTTTGGGGGAGAAAACAAATTAGAGCTATAAAGTTGGAGCTCAGCATATCACAAAATCAACAGTAATAGGGGACTTAACATATGGAAGGCAGAGTAACAAAAGGCTCCGTCACTGCCTTCATGACCTTAAAATTCTGTGGGATTTTGTGCTACCCAAGAATCCTGTATACTACTGATAAACCTTCTGCCAGTATGACAGCAGTGTAAGAAAGAATTTAAAGAAAACATATAAAAAAATAAAGAAAACATATGATAGTGTAACCTTCATTTGTTGGTTCCTTTGGTTACTAACCATTAAAATACACACACTACAGAGAGCAACAGGCTGTGGCAGAGATCACAGATGAGCCACAGAAGAAAGCACAGCCCCTGTCCTCAGAAAGCTTATTTTAGTAAAATTCTGAAATTGTATAATCAATAGCAAATCTCCAAGAGATTCAACCATCACTTTCTGGTCCAAGAAACTAATCGACACTTATCATATGCATGACACTAAGTATTCTAGATGGAGGGCCAGCAACATGAAGTGCTGGAGGTAAGTAATGCTCCTTTACAAGTGGCTTGAAAGACTCCAACACTCGTGAGGGATACATTTTGTCACAGCAGAACTCTAAAACCTGCATAAGCCATCAGTGAGAATTTAGGAGTATATTTCCATTGACTATCCAGCCTTAGAACCAAATGGCTAAGTATTAAAATGAAGATTCACTGTATTATTATAACTAACAGTACTTGAGAGGAAAGTAAATGACCCACTAAATCCCTCCCAGGTACCAAGAGGGGTCTGATTTTCCATTTATCAGCAAGTCTTTGGGGTAGACAGCAACTCAATCTCAGACTCTCGTCGGTGGCTGCTTCGTGGACGGCTGAGGGGAACACTTCAAAAATGAACCAGCTAAACAAACTTCCCAGCAGCACTTGACAGAGCTACACCTATTCTTCCCATTTCCAAAGCAGTGGAGAATTAATTACCAGTTCTATGGATCTATTGTAAGTATAATAGACTAAAGAGCTATCACAGACACATTTATTGTAAAAGCACAATCCCAAGAGTGTCTAGTGGAGGGCCAAAACGATTAACACAAATGCTTTGTCAGATCAAAGATAAAACCTGCACCGCCCAATTGAGGAATGAATTAGAACAGTGGGTTATCTTTCAAATTAACCAGGGCAGTTAGTGAGGAAAATTTCATGAAAGTGTAATTCTTAGCCTTTGTGAATCCACACAGCAGGCATTCTGCCAGCTGACAAGATGATGAAATTTTCATGCTTAAAAAAAGCCCTCTTCATTTCCCAATTTAGATTAGCTAGTGTTTCTCTCTCTTTTTGTGTGTGTGTGCGTGCGTGTCTATTTGCTCTTCTGGAACAGAATTTAAGGGGAGAAGAAACACATATCAATTTTTCACTGTAAAATTGAGTCTTTCAAAAAACATCCTTCAAAGCTTAGAGATACAGTCTTTACATGGCCTTTTTATGATTTTCAAAAAATACCAGTTCAATTTCAACTTTGTGTAGAGGAACCAACAAGGACCAGGGCACAAAATGAACTTTGAATTAGAGCTTTCTGTGATACCTCCAAGTCTTTCAATGCTTCCATCAAGTCTTGGGATAAAGTATTAGACTATTTTCCTCCTAAAGCAATTAATATACTAAATTTTCTTGCTCGATGCTTTCTGTATTTCTATGTACACTGAAATGTAAATGTTCGGGATCCCTGGGTGGCGCAGCGGCTTAGCGCCTGCCTTTGGCCCAGGGCGCGATCCTGGAGACCCGGGATCGAATCCCACGTCGGCCTCCCGGCATGGAGCCTGCTTCTCCCTCTGCCTGTGTCTCTGCCTCTCTCTCTCTCTCTCTCTCTCTCTGTGACTATCGTAAATAAATAAAAATTAAAAAAAAAAAAAAAAAAAAGAAATGTAAATGTTCTAAGAAGTGAGAATTCAAGGGATACGATCACTCCTATATGGTGAGAGAGAGAAATTGTCTCCTATGGAAGGGGCCAATATAAAAATATGATACAGATTATCAGATATGCAAAATTTTTAATGTTTGTTACATCACACTTATTCGATCTGCACTATTTATTCATGACAGAAACTAACAGGATATATGATGTATTTTTGTGAAAAGTGGTTCAGAACCATATTGTGTTAGGCTAAACTTCTGTCCCTTTGTTCTTGACACCCCGATTTCTTGGTGATCTAGAACTATGTTCCTTGGCAGGTTATAGTGTTTGGTCAAGTACCATACTCCTCCACTGTCTTCCTCAAGGTCCTTCCCTAAATAGATGCCTTCCTTTCTTAAGGTAGGCTCTACTTCCCCTGCAGTGATACTAAGACAAAAATGAAACACAACATTGACTCTTGCTCTCAGTTCAGGGACAACTTTTATGCCCAGTACTGTCTAAATTGTGAAATGAGAATAAATTCTTTGGGTCATTTCAGAAAACAGTCATTTTACCTCAGTACTTATTATCAATATCTTTGTCTTCAGGACAGTTGGTGTATTAATCTCTAGCTGGATTGCCATTGCTATGGTATATCACACTGAATTTACGGTCATCACTATCACTTGATGCAGAATAACAAAAGAAAACTCTAATGCCACGTCCCTCTACCAGCAAAAGTTCCTTTAAATCTGGGGACAGGAGAAAAGAGAAGAGTCTACCAGTGAAGTAGAATGTAGAGGCGTTTGAGCATTCTGTATAAAAGCTCTCATCTTGAGAATTTTAGAGATTAGTTCATTATGGGGCCATAGAACAAATAAATGGATTTCTTTTGCTCCCATCCAATTATATATGACTAAGATAAGCAAGCAGAGAAATAAGTTCCTAATTTTGAGGACAGTTATATCAAGCTTCAACTTCAGGAGTGGTATTTGGGCACTTTAATAAGAAATCCTATAGAAAAATCAATCCAGTGCACACTTAACTAGAGGAAAACTGTTATCTGCTGTTGAGATACCTGGTAGACAAGACAATTAAAGCAAATACAACGGAAACCTTGGGTTAAATGTCTAGCTGCCTAAAAGTAGGTTATTTAGCTTGAAAAATACTCATACCACCCCCCCACATATAATTCAGTTAGAAATCAATCTTTCAGTTAGAACATATTTCTAACTATACAGAAGATCCCTTTTCTGCCTATTCTCAACTTAGTCATAACAGATTGTCCTTTCTTATAGAAGGAAAAGATGAGTTTCCTCTAGTATTAACATTTCCATGGTAAAGATTTTGATAGACTAAACACTGAGAGAAAACTCAGAATTCTTCCCAAGAGTCAAGAATCATGTTCTGCTCAACGAGGTCTGTAAATGAGGAGCTAAATAGTTTTGATTTGGGCTCTTCATGCTAAATAAAGGCCTAACATTATATGTGCTGAACATTTCATCTACTGTGCAATGTGAACCCACAGATAACCTTTATTCTGATCTAACTGTTCATTAAGTGTAGCAGAGGATTATTCACTAAAATACTTCAGATTTCTCAAAATGTAGTCATAGTTATTATTTCTAAAATACCTTCAGACAAATCTACTTGGGTGTGTTTGACAAATACAAATTATCCTACTCCAAAATCACAATAAACTCTATGCTTCTACTCTTCATCCTAATAACCTAATAATTGATTTTCATTTCATGAGGTCGATTTTTAAAAAAAATTTTTTTTAAGATTTTATTTATTATTCATGAGAGAAGAGAGAAGAGAGAAGAGAGAGAGAGAGAGAGAGAGAGAGAGAGAGAGAGAGAGAGAGAGGCAGAGACACAGGCAGAGGGAGAAGCAGGCTCCATGCAGGGAGTCCAATGTGGGACTTGATCCTGGGACTCCAGGATCACGCCCTGGGTCAAAGGCAGGCCTAAACTGCTGAACCACCCAGGGATCCCTGAGGCCGATTTTTAAAGAAGAAAATGCTGTAGTAAATGTTAACTAACGTAAGTAGATATTAAAGGATGACACCGATCAAAGTCATGGGTGTTACCCAATAGAATCTGAGCTTTTGGAAATGCTTTGCCAATGTAGCTTCTTTAAATAAGTTACACTGAGCTTTTATGTAATAGGAATTTTGTTTAGATGACAAATGACATAAACACTAAGAAAAATCAAATGAGAAGCGTGTGGTTTCTTCAATTTTAAGTTTTGAAAAAAAAAAAACCCTCATCCCTATATGTTAAAACCAAAATAAATGCTTTGAAAAAAAGCCTTCTTTCTAATGCAGACTGCTCACTCACTTTTCTAACATTTTTAGTATATACTTATAAAAATTAGACAGTCTCTTTAAAATGCCAGACAAATTGCATTGCATTTAAAGTTAAAAAACGCTTATGGGAGCCTGAGTGGTGCAATCGGTTATGCGTCCAACTGGCTCAGGTCTTGATATTGAGCCCTGTGTCAGGCTCTGGGCTTGTGTGTGTGTGTCTCCCCTGCTTGATATTCTCTGTTTCCCTCTGCCCTTCCCTCTTTTATTCTCTCTCTCAAAATAAATTAATCTTTAAAAAAATGTTTATTTTCATTTCCTTGGACAACACAACCAAGTAATGGTTTAGATTACCACAAAAAGTCTTAACCTGTGGGCAGTTATTAAAATCACCACACATGATGTTATGACTCTACTTGCCAAAGACAGGCAATATTGATTTTTTCTCCTCTGGTCAAAGATCTGAGTGACCACTTAATTTAATCTTACTCAGGTAACAATAAACTAAAATATTTCCTGATTATATTCTCATTTTTCTTTAAAGCAAAAATTCAGTATTTAAAATACTGCTCATTTAATGAAAGAGATATCCAATAGAAAATAAAATGCCTTTCCTGCAAAGTCTTCTAAGAATTTTAGTTTCATAAAAACCAGGAATACAAAACCATACTGTTTTATTTTAGAACAAGAACCAAACCTAAGTAAGCCCCATATGTAAGAAACTCATTGTGGACACTTACTTCATAGTATTTTTTAATGCAACGTCTAATGTCCATGATCAATTTGTTGCTCAGCTGTACCACAGAGGTCAAAGGTGAAGCCTTACAATCAATGTTGCTGCAGCGATACAAGCTGGGCTCCACATCAGTTCCCTACAGAAGTCAGAACAGACAAATACACAAAGGGTTACTGCAAGGCTAGCAAAGGTTTTTTTGTGCTTAAAAACTAACATGCTCTCCTGGTGTGCAATATTCTTAATTCGTTTTATTATTGAGTTTTTAACCCTATTTTTTCAACTACTGTCCTCTCGAGGATCCCCTTAGTCACACGAACCTCCTGCCTCTTTGCCATCATAAAATGGAGTACAAGTCGAAGGGAAAACCCTGAAATCACTTCTGTTTTTACATTCAATATATGACAGACCTTAGGGATGAAATAATTTTCCCTCTGAAAATACCAGTGAAGTCACACCATTGGAAATAAACATTCTTCTCAGAGATATTGATCAGAGTTTTAAAATTGTACTTACTCATTCCAAACTTGAAGACAGAGCAAGCGTACTAATGACATTAGTTTCCTTTCATATTGGCAACTTAATTTTAAGATGAAGCCTAAAAATTAAGTACTACACCAGAAAGCAATCACTTATTGTCCCCTTAGAAAATCTAAAATTTCTGTAATTCTCCCTCTCCACTACCCCCTCAAATGAAAATTATTTGGGGGAAGGGAAGGCAAGAAGAGTAGAAATTTGAAAGAATTAACTATTAGTGGGCGGGGGAAAAAAAACCTCTTGTTTTGTTTTGTTTTAAACAAAAACAAAACAAAGCAAATAGAATATATAGGAAAATTGTTGGGGTTTCTGGAGCATTTGTTTTCCTTCTTGATACTTAAACATCTTGGTTTCCTGCTCCAATCTGGTACATAACCCTACCCGCCACACTAAGCAATTCCAGGTGGAAGAGATTTTAGAGCTTGACATCGGCTCTTCCACAGTTAGCCCATCTGCAAGTCGTCAAGCCTCCATGCAATTAACTATCTTATTTACAGCTGTAATGAAGCAAAACTCAAGGATTTAGCAAGTACTGCTGATCTGTGTCTGCCTCTTCCTTGCACTTGCTTCCAAAGACTGCTTTGTTTTGATTCAAAAAAATGCAAAACATCTGCTGTTTGTCCAAATTAACTTAAAATAATTACTTTTAATTTAGATAAAGGATGTATTTCCTTTCAGTTTCAAGGTTTTACACAGTTCTGCTGCCTACTCATTTGCCAATGGCTAGTACATGTATAACACTGCAGTTGAATCAAGTAAATTGGCTAAGTTTCAAGTTCTGATCCAAGGTCAATGATACATTTTTTTGGCAGTACTTCTTGAGAGGAATGTATCCCTGTGACTTTTTTAATGTCTGACATGCAAAGACAGCAGAAAAGATAATCAGAGTACCTTAGTCAAAAAGGAGGCAAGTGGGATGTGTAAAGATAAACAAAAACTTTCCAAAAACACTTAGTTCCCATTAACTTGATTTAAGATAAAGGCAAATATTGCTCTAAGTCTTAATAAATTGGAGCTGGGAGTGGGGAAATACAAGTTACTAATTAAGGAATTACAATAAAAAATACTTTAAGATACTTTAGAATTTTTAAGAGATTCCATTTAAAAACCAAGGCCAAATAACCACTCCAGGAAGCCAAAAACAATATGCAAGCACCATATACTAAGAGTTTTCTAGCAGAAATAAAGTCGCAAAGGCAGAATTCATACGATGCTAAAATTGTTTAAACACATGAAAAGCAACATTTTCCTCCCTTTCCATACATACAGTGGGAAGGAAAGGCCTCTACAGTAGTTGGTTAACAAAATGAAGAAAAGAAACAAAAAGAAACTAACCGAACCATCCAAGACACTATCGTATATATTTTCTGTTCCACATGTGGGGCATGGGCATTTGAATCTTTCACAGTCCCTGTATTTCTCCTCATCAGTGAGCTGTGCTGGGCCACCAAGTAGGGCATCATTCTCCTCATCCTTATGATAATGATGAACTCTAAATTGGGTGGGGTCAAGTCCTGTTAATGTTAAAGAAAAAACAAATCCACAAAGGTACAATTATTTGAATTTCCATATGTGACAAAGACCCCAAAGGAAAAAAAAACTCACAAAGGAATAATTTTAAATTCATGCACACATATACACAACCATTTGAACTCAAGATAAAGGCTCACATCACATGGACAACTGACTTCTCTTTTTACAAAAGATCACTTTATTAAATAAAACAAGCCAGCTTCACTAACACAACGCAGATATGCCCCCAGATGTTTGGGTTCAGAAGCAACTATTTCTATAGGATGGTTTTACAGTTCCAGTGAGAATCTCAAATGAATGTGCAATGTTATTAAGAAATCTCTTAAAATCAAAGTTTCACGATTAAAACTGAAAATAGAGAATAAAAATCCCATTAAAGAAAACAAGTCCAATGCTATTATAACTCCTTCAAGTGTAGATACAACTGCTAACCCTGATTTCAATGCAGTGGTCGATTCCATCTTGGCTCAGTAGTTAACAGCATGTAGGGTGCAATCTAATTCAGTGGTTAAAATTCAGTAGCAGCATCCGAGACAAAACGCAACATGGTTTTTTGGTGTTCTGAATTCAGAAATTTAAAATATGTGCAAAAACAATGGATCTACAGATTCTATAGGCCAAAACATTCCCGACAATCTTGAAACAAAATATACCATCCATATTTCAATCAAAATAACACAAGAAATCAATCGATACATTGAGGTAGTTTATCCTATCTCATCTCCACAAACTAAAGAAAAGAAACATTTTTAGGCTGGCCAATTTTATTTACTTTTGGTCAAAGCCTATCTGTCAAAATATACTATTTGGATTTACACTTAAAAGTAATTAATATACACGGTATCTTAAGATATGTTTCTGACATCATCTTTTAGCCATCCCTAAAGATTCTAGGCTCTAAGAACTCTAAGGAAAGCTATCATATTTATTTTAGCATAAAGGTAAATAAGCAATATAAAAGTCACTGAGCAAAAAATTCAAATACCAAGAATATGTGAAAACCGTTTTAATTCTATCAATAGCTGCATAGGTAGATAAACAGATGTATAGATGTATTCAGAACCAGTGACAAGATCCTAAACTCTATTTGGTCAATTTTTAAGTGACACCTACACTTGAGGCTGAGTGACATGGTGAAAAGGTGCCAAACAAAGAATAAAAAGACAGAGACTATGAATCACAATTTTCTCACCTACAAAATGGAGGTAGTGTCACTGACCAGGCACTTTCGAAGTTTAAATTAGACATAAGAGGACAAACCCCTTTCAGTGATACCTAGCATGTAATAAGCATGTAATAAATATTGTATGAATGAAAAAATAAAATAGTGGATGAACATAATTTAATCTAAATGATACTCAAGATTATGCATTTGGAAAAATATATGGAACACATGTTCATACTACATAGCAAGTTACTAGCTGTTCTTTGTAGGAGTTGATCAAAATGAGAATTTCCTAATATGATCACACAACAAAAAAAAAATACACATTAAAAGCAATTTGAAAAAATATTCTTGTTTATTAGTGACATAATTTACTGTAGCCAAGGTAACTTGGCCCTGAGAGTCACTATACATTTTTATTTTACAAATTACCTAACCCCTAAGAGAGTAAATTCATGAAGAGTGTGGGAATATATACCATCCCACTTAAAGACAGGGTGGGGGGTGGGGGGAAGCCCGGGTGGCTCAGCGATTTAGTGCCGCCTTCAGCCCAGGGCATGATCCTGGAGTTCCAGCATCAAGTCCCACATCGGGCTCCCTGCATGGAGCCTGCTTCTTCCCCTGCCTGTGTCTCTGCCTCTCTCTCTCTGTGTGTCTCATGAATAAATAAATAAAATCTTTAAAAAATTTAATAATAAAGATGGGGGGGGCAGAGAAAATGAGTGAGAGAGGCCACATCTGTAAACAAAGCCATTTCTTTTCTGTACTGAGGGTAACTGTTACAAATTCCTGAAACTCTATTTGTGAATCCAATGGTATTCACAAAATGCCTTGCTTCATCAACAACTATGAGAAAGAACTTCACTTTTTCTCTGACAGTATGATGATTCATCAATTTCTCAGGCCAATACTATTCAAAAAGTAAGGAAAAAGAAAAACAGTAGGCAAAGGTTTTCTCAACTGCAGACTTCTTCCACAATCCAAAAATCCAGGAACGAAACAACACTGGTTTTGCACATACCCACAAACGGCCAACCTGTAACAAGGAAGCAACGAAAGCTCTCTAGGCTACCCTACCAGCCTCCACCTACTGAGTGTACCTGAGGTTTCATGGGAACCTGCCTAATGAGTAAGCCAAAAGAGAACAAGGGCCCTCTGACTACTTATGGGGAAATGCCCAACAAGGGTCCAAAAGTCATGAAAAAAAAAAAAACAGGTCTTATAAAATGTCTATTTTAATGTTCAATTCTACAAACAACCCTTATCTGCTCATGGCAATAACAAAGCCAAGTGGCATAGCTAATTACTTCAGATTTATTCCCATGCTGATTTTTTTCAAGAGAAGAGATTTCATCTCAGCATTCTTGGTCATAGATCAATGTTAAATTTTAAAAATATAACAGGAGGGGACACTATAATTACTTTAAAATATTAGGTATCTAATGATTCTTGTCCAAGTTACTTAGATACAAAAATGTTATAAAAAAGTAATTTTCTTGGGAGCACAATTAAAAGTTCAACAGGCAAATCACAGAGGACTAACTTAAATCTTTTTATGAAAACATATAACATCATGTTAAAAAATAAGGATCACTGCTGCTAGAATCTTTCTTTTAAAGGTCAAAAACTAGGCTTAAACAAGCCCCAAACATACTCTATTCCATTACGTAGGAATTAGTGTTTCCAAATCCTCATGGAATTGGCAACAAGCAGCTTATTTTAAAGTTTTGGGAGACTTGAAAGTTTTACTGCTTATACCATAACTCATTAAGGTCATAGTGAAACAGGAAAAAAGTATCTGGTGCTGCCACCTAGAGGTAGATTCTAAATTTTTAAATGTGCAAAATAGAGCTGCTACATGGAACTGCAATTTTAATTACTGTCCCTCTAAAATTAAACACTTTTGTTGGAAAAAAACATTAAAGCAAAATCTTTATGATCAAAGGTGTCATATATACACCTACATTAAACTGTTCACCATACAGTAAGCAATCACATTACTTTGAAGAAGAGACACAAAACTGAATTCCAACTTCTGTGTCTCTTCTACTAAGAGCTTTCTCTAAACAACTGGCTTAAAGAAACAAACTTTATGCCCTATTTGAGTAAAGGAACTTCCACTTTTATTAGCCTAGCTTTTGACATATAACTTCAATCATTTGATCCAGTACAGAATAAAGCAAAGAATAGCCTACTTGGGTCTCACACTAGTTATCTGGGCAAAGAGCAGCTGTGATTCTCCCTGCAATAAGCAGGAATGATGTGTGCTTTAATTCAATCTTGTGACTTGTAGTAATAGAGTCATATCATGTTGGAGGGGGCTTGGGAGTGGGATGGGGAGGACAGAGGGAAAATGAAATGAAATTAAAATACTGTCATTTATAATTAGAAAATTTATAGGATCTCACATTTTGGCAACAAGATCAAAGCTCTAATGTTTCAGAAAGTATTTATAGAAAGTAATATCATAGGCATTGGAGTGGATGAGTTCAGCAGTGCTGTTTTTTACTTAAGATCACCAGATTCTTATAACACACACACACCTCCAATGTGACATGTAGCACAAAATTAATTTTTGTACCAGGTACTTTCTAAACATTGCAAGCTATACCAGTTTTCAGAATGTTCACTTGCCCCCATTCCCAAGGATTATTTAAACTGTTCTGAATTCAAGGCATTCAGTTGAGAGGCTGATGCATTGGACCAAGTAATTTTCTTCCTTCAAAAGACAAGATCTTTATTAGTGCAAATGCAAATAACTACGGTAAGACTAATTATATACAACTGTGCAAGTGAGGAAGTGGGAAAAATCCATATGAATGAAACTCCAAATGAGCAAAGAGAGAAACTGATATCCCCAAGAAGTTAGTTATAATAATTACTTAAGCTACTAGTAATAGAATCTTATTGTGAAATTGTTTTCTAAAAATTTCTTTTAGGAAATGAATCATTTATCTTTTGCAGGAATCCAGGCTTTCATGTGTCTGGATTTCTTAGAGAACAACAAACTGACTGTTTAGTATGATTAAGAGAAAAATGCTTAATGAATTGTTAAAAGGTGAATGCCACATCCTTAAAAAGCTGTGTACAAGAATTTTCATAGCAGTTTTATTCATAATAACCAGAAATTGGAAACAATCCAGACGACCATCAACAGGAGAATGAAAAAATAAACTGGTATGATCTACCATGGAGTACTACTCAGCAATGAAAAAGAATGAGCACTGATAAATGCCACAAGATGGATAAATCTCACAAGTGCTATGCTAAGTGAAAAAAGCTGAACACAAAAAAGTATACACTGTAGAAAATTATTTATATAAAATTCTACACTAGGCAGAATTAACTTATGGTCAGAGAAATCAGATGAGTGATTTCTTTTGTGAGAGGGGATATTGAATGGAAAGGAAAAGAGGGGAACATTTTGGGTTGATGGAAAAGTTTTGTGATTTGATAAACAGAATGTATGATACTCTTAAGATAGTAGCATTTTGTTTTAAGTTACACTTGAAAAAAAGCATGCTAAATAGAAGATGTTTATGACATACATTACCAAGGACACATACTTAGAATATATAAGGTATGCTTGCAAATCAGTTAAGAAAAAGACAACTCAATAGAAAAGTATATGAAGACCTCACCAGGCACCCCACAAAAGGAGATCCTCAAATGGTCAATAAGGATGTGAACAGGGGCTCAACTTCATTTGTCATCAAAGAAATGTAAATTAAAATCACAATGTTATACCGCCACATTAAACAAAGAAAACACAAAACATTAAGTGCTGATGAGAACGTGGATCGCTTATACACTGAT